GGAAGGACAGTTGTTTCCCCCTTAACTCCTTGTCATCTAACTCAATCAGCCTCTTCAAGTTGATTAGCCTGGTTAACCTTTGCACCCAGCTGGGTCTGGATGGGTTAATCAGGCCAGGATCTCAGAGGCCTTTGGGTCAGTATCCGTCTATCTTGAAGGACTTGGTGAAGGCAGAGATAAGATTAAAGTGTACTTTCATCCTTGTCTTGCCGCCTCATCCAAATGCACGGAGGCTCACCTGCCACTGGCTGATCCCACTATTCCAGTATTGCCGACTCCATTAATAAGCATGCGTTTAACCATAGACATTATTATTCCGAATATATCTCCTTTCTCTATAAAATAGGCCTATAGTAAATTTAGGAAGTAATGCATATCAGGTATTGTGTTTGAGTACCATTCTGTCAACAAGTAAGCCAATTCTATAGGCTACATATTTTCGCAAATGCAATTTCCTGGTCACCTAAAATGATGTAGGCCTAGCTAATTATTGATAAATTAAAGCTATAATCCTTAATTGAAACAATAAGAAACCGGCACCTCGCCTGTGTTTTGGTAAAAAGCTGAGGGATGGGCCTGGCGAAATGTAGCCATGCTCAAATTCATAGACTGATCTATGGATGAAAGGACTGACCATATATGATATCAGAATTATAGTTTTAAGCAGGGTTGTTTGCTTACATTTACATTGTTCACAAACATTGGAATAAAACAATCTTGAATGATGGGTTCTGATGGGGTACTACAGTTGAACTAAGCTCATGAGGAAATAATGTATATGTTATATTCTTCAAGAATCAATGGGTATATCAATGGGTATATCATTAATTTATAAGTCCAAAATGGATGTAGCAACTAAGGTTTCCAGCTTTAAGATCACGTTGTCAATTCATTTGTTTGCAGAAACATAATTTTAGTGAACAAAAGTTGTACTGTTTCTTCATTTGTTAGCTTAACCTGTTACATTAGTGAAAGCTTTTTCAAAGCACGACCATGAAATCAACCCCTGACTTGAACATTCACTGTCTATCGATTCACCTAACTGCGCTCAACCCGATCAGGGCACATCTTAAAGCCCTGTGTCCCAGAGTGCGCGCTTTGCTTTACAAACAATAATAAAGTGATTTACCCCATTCAGCGGACTGAGAATGGAAAATCGTTAAAGATCCTGAAAATTGTGTGTGATCAGTAAATATTTAGTGTGGCGACATCCTGGAGTCTCGTCCTAATCGATGTAGGTCCTGATGGGGGTGCGCTATTGTGTATGGAGGCTTGCTGTGCTCTATAGCCCATGCTTCGAGATTCTGTCTTGACAAGATCATTTTAGCTAAGAAATGCACCACCAAAAAGAAAGGAAAATATTTTAGCAACTGTAGGCTACTATTATCATTGATTCATCATATACATACATTTATCCAGAGAATATGAAAAAGTAAAGGACAAATCTTGTGTTACTTTTCAACTGACAAAACATCCCATTTAGGCCTATTGTTGTCATTAGTTGGTATTCTTTACAACTTTCGTTGTCCAGACATGAGCCTATAGACCTACCTTGGCTAATCTACAAAAGTAGGCCAACGGTTTAAATTTGAATGTGTGGAAGTCTCATAAAGTCCATATGAAAATATAGACTTCACCCCCAAACTTCACAAAGGCCCAAAAACTCTCTCTCTCTCTCTCTCTCTCTCTCTCTCTCTCTCTCACACTCTCTCTCTCTCTCTCTCTCTCTCTCTCTCTCTCAGTACAGAGGTCATGTCAAATCACACCCTCTCCCCCCTCTCTCCGTTCCCCTCTCCTCTCTTTCTCTCAGTTAGTGGAAGTTTGTTTGTAGACATATGAGGATGAGAACGTAGCCTACTATCAGAGAAGCTATCTTTAAATTGAAATGCGCCTATCTGAAAGCAAACCTCTCCTTCCCCTATTCACTAACAACAGTTGTAGTTTTGTTAACCACAACAACAACAATACAAATAGTAATATTAAAAGCAATAATTGGTCTACCAATCATTTCAGTTGTTACCAGTAATAATACTACTAATAATAATAGCCTAATAATAATAATATAGTTGTTATAACACGCTGATATACATTTTTCTGCCACAAAGGAATATTTTACAAATTGGGGTTATCCACTTGTCAGCTAGACTATTGGTGTCAAATTTTGAAACTGATTTACATCCAAGATTCTGACATAAATGAAGCGATAATGTATGAAAGCATCACTACTTTTAATACAAACAGACAGGTGTCTATATTCCGACTTCACCCCCTCCCTCTACCTCTCATACAGCCTACACAAAGCAGCGGCATACAGGCGCGTTTTTACCCATACTGTAGAACAGAAATGACGCACAGGAGCATCTTGCTGTTTTACTTTTCTCCTTTTTAAAGACAGCTATTTCAACCACTACTTATGAAGACAAGTCAATTTGCATTACAAGGTTTAAGTTCAGCACATAAATTGAACTATTTCATTCCGTCTGGAAAGGACACCTCGCCCGTCTATTCTCGACATTATATCGAAAAGAGAAGACTAGTAGATATTCTGATAAGAGAGAAGATGCTTCACGCTGCGGACGAATCGACTTGTGCATTTGGTACGTTTGTGAGAATAGCCTATATACAATATTGTCTACAATAATCTCACAATCTATTTTATGAAACACATATAGGTGAGTTTAGATGTAGCCTACCATGTGTTTCTGCTCAATATGTATTGCAATTAACGTTTCGATTAGACAATAATTAGCCGGTTATGCGTCCTTGTATCTTTATCTGTAGCCTTTGGTAAGGCTCATTAGGTTTTAGTGATTTTTTTTATGTTTACAATGTTGTGTTTTAAGACTAAACAGCTTTTTGATGTATCCATTTTGATAGTCCTTTTATTTACGAACAAGACAATTACCTAATGCCAAGCATGCGCTCACATTCAAACATTTAATTAAGGAAACAAACATGACCAAATGTTTATACTCACCAATGGAGTGGTCATGTAGATTCCACAATAAAACAATAAGATAAACTGCAGACAGGGATATTATTTAGACCCTAGCGTTAACTTTAGAATGAGTGTTACGCTGAAGACCAATTATTATATAAATCAATGATTAAAAGCCTATACAAACATTCCCTGTGCCAACAGAGCACATAGGCTATGAAGAGCCGAAACAGAGAACAACACGCATACCTCGACGATGTCCAAGTCAATTAGAAGACATTTCTAAAACAATCAGTTTGAAATGGGAGCGCGTTACTTTGGTCAACGAGGAAGACGAGAGAACAAGGCAGTTTCCATGTCCGAAGGCTCCTCCGAATTGAATCTCGATTTGAGACAGAAAGGATCCATACGCTAGGGGGCACCCAGATACTGTAATAGATCCGTTCTTCTGAATCCCCCCCCCATTGACAGCATATGCTCTGATTTAGCTCTGTACATTTTTCACAAGATCCAACTTTGACAGCCCCATGGTGATTTTGAAAGTACCAGCTAAAAATGCTCAGACTAGAAACTTCTAGGAGCATATAGGGGCCAATTTAGGCTATATACTTCATAGATATGTTGTGTCTTCAAATGAAACACCATTCACTCAGGCCTATGTGACATATGTAACCTATGATAATGAATTAAGACATATACAGATATTGTTTAACAACTTTCAATACACTCCATGAATGTTGTTAGCTATAGCCTAGAAATCATGAACCAAAAAATCTAACAATAGCTCACCATATCTCGGGTTTTCTGATATGAATTGAGAGAGAGGTCCCAACTGTCATTAAGGCTATTTCCATGGCAAATCATTGTGTTGTGGTCTGCATCTTAGACGCAAAATAGGCTTACTTTATAGACTAATGATTACAATCCCTCGTGCTTGCGTTTAATTTATTGTAACTCTATAAAAAGCAATTTATCATATACTTGCAAATGTGTAGCCTACACATATTCATAATCATCATAACCAGAAGTATAAAAAAATATGTCCGTCAGAAAGAATCTAATAATAGGCCAATGCGTGAGTTGATAGAAGGAAACCGTGATGTGGCATGTTCTGAAATAAGATGGTGCATATATTAGCTATTAGCCTATATTGTAATGAAATGTACCATCCCAGCATTGTGAATGAACATAGGAAAAGTTTTCTAATATGTCCTAATCAGTCTAATAAAATAATAATAATAGCCCTATTTGTATAGCACCTTTCATACAGCAAATGTGTTGCAATGACAGGAAAAATGTCAACAAGCAATGTTATAATTTGTTTTGCACAAAGCCATATCGTATAATAATGGTTAATTTCATATAGTTTAACTTCTGATAGCCTACTTCTATTGCATTCTGCAATCTCTAATGTAGACTAATGGTAGACTGAAGTTTGACTTTAATGCAGGAGCACTATAGGCTACTCCATCACATGAAAGCATATATCAGATGTAAAGATACCATCCTCACCTCTCTCAGACTAGTAGATGTAAGGAAAAATAAACATCAGGAAAAATTTATTAGGCAACCCACTGACTTAGGTTAGTGCCCACTGGGATCCTTGAGACGTCCCTACCCTTAATCCTAACCCGAACCTTAACCCCAACCCTTACCTTAACCTTAACCTTAACCTTAACCCTTCCCTAACCCCAACCTTAACTATTTTAAATGTAAGCTTCAATTGGGTATGGACATCCCAAGGATTCCGGATAGCAATGACCCACTGATTTAAGCTATACTCAGTCAAATAAGAAACATTATGTGGTCAGAGAATGTAATCATTGAACATGAATTTACATGTATATTTCATGAAAAATGTGAGTGAATTAGAAGCACGGTCCTCTCTTCTAAACTGTCTCCTTTTAGGACCAAGCATCTTCTCGACCCCCATCCTGCTTTGGCAAGGCACCAAGTAGCACAAGTACCGACTAGCCAATGGGGTTCAGGGGGAGGTCCATGAGCTCTGACCAGTCAAACACAGTCACTTTCCTTATATGGCAGCTCATCTCCATGGTAACATGTGCTAAATTGCAGCAGTTGTGTCAAAGTTCACTATATAGAGAGCTCAGTGAGCTGATCAGAGAGAAAGCATTCTGCCAGCCAAGCTCCTACTATTCGCAATCACTTCCTAACCTCACCCTTTTTAACATATTTAATCACTTTGATTCTCTGTTCTTTTTCTTATTATTTTTCCGTGCATGAAGGAGGTTCTATAGGTTGTGATCTTTTTGTTTTATTATCACTTGCTTGTCGGAGAGTTGACTTCATATTTGACTAAAGCATTGTCTTCAGCTGCTCGCACCACCTCACAAGAAGAAAAGGGAGAAGCAGCAATATTTGTTTTTAACCAGTTGATGATTTTCATCAAGACTTGAGCTGGAACTTGATAGCGCTCTGCTGCTAGTGTGTAGCCTACATCAATTGTGTGTTTTATGCTGCTGTCACGTCGCCTACGTTCAACGTACTGCTCCGTTTCTTGAATAGGCTACCTCATTTCATTATCGCAATCATTTGCTATTTTTTCCCCCTTGACGGATCTCCTGGATGGCTGACTGCAAGCGCCCCTGGACTTGGCCTCTAAGTGCAAGGCTGCGATTCAGCTCGCCATCACATCAGTTTTAAAACGTGTGCTTCGCATCGTCTACAACAGCAATAGAATTTGACATTTTCGAAGATTCAACGAACAATCGACAACAGTAGGCTTTTGGCATTTATTTATTTATTTGACTATTCATTTTGATTACAGCGTACTGCATTCTTTTGAGAAAACAAGCACCGCAAAACCAAAAACGGCAGACAAAAAGTTTCCTTACGTTGACTGATAGATATGGCAATGGTAGTGTGGAGAGGCTCCCAGGACGATGTGTCTGAGACCCAAGGTACCCTTTCTTCGCAATCTCAAGGAGGACTATCCCTTCCGACCACTCAGATGAATCTGTCAGGCTCTCAGGTCGCCCCTCCGACCCCTCAGACACCCGTCCAAGGACCCCCGAACAACACTGTACAGTCTACGCCGACAAACCAGACGATGCAGTCGGAGAAACAGCAGCCACAGCACATAGAATGCGTTGTTTGCGGGGATAAATCGAGTGGTAAACACTATGGCCAGTTTACTTGCGAGGGGTGCAAAAGCTTCTTCAAACGGAGCGTACGAAGGAACCTCAGTTATACATGCCGTGCCAACAGGAATTGTCCCATTGACCAGCACCATCGCAATCAGTGTCAGTACTGCCGCCTCAAAAAATGCCTGAAAGTTGGCATGAGACGGGAAGGTATTGGGATTTTTATTTTCTTGTTGATTTATTTGTCCTGTATGTCGTGCGCTGAATGAATTATGTAATTGTATGTGTTGCGGTCTCCGATATTCTCTCCCGGATTCGTCTTCCATAGGCTGCGCGGCCGAAGCACGGAAGGAGCCGTCAGCATTTAGTGCTTAAGACCGATAGTGAAAAACCTACCTTTTAGCGTTCGAAGTGTTATATTTCTTAAACGCTATATTCAATAATGTGGCCTTCACAAACAATAGTCATAAGAGTTTGGATGTAGATTATTAGAACTGAATCGTCCTCTTGAAAGAGACAAAATGGATTTGCATCTGTATTTGAATACAAACGCATATACAACGTTATTATGGCGAGTGTGGAGTGAAGAGACAGCTTGTTTAGATCCCACACATTACGTGTCGTGTTAATCTCGACCAGAAAACTGAGCTGTACGTAGAAAAGGGCATATGTGTATCTTTAGAATTGTTCTATTCAATGATCAGTCGAAAATAGTAGTCAATATAAAACTAGCCGAATAGATTGCTAAGTAGGTTAAGGGTTACAACATGCAAGGACTGCCTTGCCTTTGTGCTTCTAGTGAGCTCATGTTGTTGTAGCCAAACAACAAAATGAAAATGTAAAACCCAGATTTATAACTAGCCTACTTCTAAAATGTTCCATAGAGAATCATACATTTTCCGGCCAATATGCTTGTATCGATCTCTACAGTAAATAACAGTCATTGTTTGCATGTATGTAGGCTAGCCTATTTGTTGTAGCCTACGTATTGTTTTAGTTTATAATGTTGGATCCATAGATTTCATCATAGCATTTGAATAGCAAAAGTAATGGTTAAACTGGTATTTAGCATGTGTATTCCTCGAACTGCTATAGTGTAACAACATTTGGCATAGCCTCCTGGTCAGGAGGGTTACAATGTCTCTTGATGTGTAGAATTCAGGCATCAATATCTGCAGTTTCTCTTTTTACTGCAGCGGTGCAACGGGGACGGATGCCACCCACACAGCCACACCATGGTCAGTTCGCCTTGACAAATGGGGACCCACTGCACTGCCATTCCTACTTATCCGGATATATATCTCTACTGCTAAGAGCGGAGCCCTACCCAACGTCCCGGTATGGCAGTCAATGCATGCAACCCAACAACATCATGGGCATCGAGAACATATGTGAACTGGCGGCCAGGATGCTGTTCAGTGCCGTGGAGTGGGCTAGGAATATCCCCTTCTTTCCAGACCTTCAGATTACTGACCAGGTGGCTCTGTTGAGGTTGACCTGGAGTGAGTTATTTGTGCTCAACGCCGCACAGTGCTCCATGCCTCTCCATGTGGCTCCACTTCTGGCGGCGGCTGGCCTACACGCCTCCCCAATGTCTGCGGACAGAGTGGTTGCCTTTATGGACCACATTAGGATCTTCCAAGAACAAGTGGAAAAGCTGAAAGTTTTGCACGTTGACTCTGCTGAATACAGCTGCTTGAAGGCAATTGTGCTCTTCACATCAGGTAAGCTCAAAATTGCACACAAAAAAACAGAATATATATAATTTCCAGTTATGTGTTTAGAGAATGTGTTTAGGTCATTGTTTTAAAACAATACTAGGCTAGGCATGCAATAGAATATATAAACAGTGCACATTTTCGCGAACGCCTGGCCTGTCCTAAAATCCCATAGAGAATAAAAACATAGGCCTATGGCTATCAACTGCCTGTAGGCCTATATCACTGTACTGTTGGGCATTAGTCATAAATGGCCCACCATTTGCATTTACTGCTTCGTCAGGCATAGGCACACTTGATTCAATTTGTGTCCACTCCCATTCATGAATTTAGACATTAATACTGAATAACTAGTTTATTCATATTTAAATTTCCCCCCAATAAAGCAACATTTTGTGCCCCTATTATACAGTATCCTAAATGCGCTGTCCCAAATATATGAACTGAAATATATTTTTGACCCACATCATAAAAGTCACTCAAACTAATATTTCAGCGGAGACATGATATCAAAAACAAACTGTCGGTATTTTTATTGGAGTTACACTTTGAGAATAGTTTGCTTACCAATCAAATATATTGTTTATGTCGGGAATAGACATACAACGTAGCCTATTCTCGCCAGGGAGGGCCATAAATTGTAGGGAATAGCGTATCTTTTGACGGAATAGCGTATCTTATTGAAGATTTAATTAATAAAATAACAACTTTGCCTTTCTACCACATTTAGCCTGATCACACGACGGACATTACAGTTATTTTGGGGAAATACTTTTCAATTCCCCTCTGTTCTGTTAGGAAGATCTAGGGATCCAATACATTTTATGGACTCCTTCCAGAACTGGGTCATGACCCAGACTACCCTGCTATAAGATTACATTACAGAATTAAAGTGGGGAATTAAAAAAAAGGTGAGAAAATACACAAACCTACACAGAATTAAGCAATCTAATCTAATTTATAAGTTGTTTTTACAATAAGCCTTCAACATATTATTATTTTTATGTAGCTAACATTTAGCAAACTAGGCTATTGGTTTAGGCAAATTCTACAAAAATACCTGGGTGGTTTAAACAATATATCGTTGTGGTAATGAATGCTTCATTTTGTCTATTTGAATCTTTATTTGATTGCAGGTAGGCTATTATGTATTCTATGAATAGGCTATGTAGGCTACAAGAGTTTGCACTGCTAAGCTACATATCATTGATCCACCATTTTTCTTGATTATTACGGTGACTTGGTTAATACAATCGCTGTTAGTGGTATGTTCGGTTTCTAGCCCTTCTTCAAGCGAAATCACAACGCAGTAGCCTACAGAGGTCACCATGTCATAACTCTCTCTCCCTGTCACCGTGCGTTCGTGCGCGCGTGTATGTGTGTGTGTGTGTGTGTGTGTGTGTGTGTGTGTGTGTGTGTGTGTGTGTGTGTGTGTGTGTGTGTGTGTTCATGTGTGTGTTAACCCAAACTACTATTAAAATGTAAACATTTGTGATTGAGTTCGATGCTTGTCTAGTTGATTTTAAACAATTGCCAGTTTCCAAATATAAGGCAACAAAAAGGGAATTTGCCTGTTCTTATTCACTGCACTACAGTGACACTAATAATCACAGAGCCTATTGATGTTTAGCCTATGCACAGGACATAAACGGCTACGATTATTAGACAGTTTCTCAAGAAAACGTGGTTTATTCAATGTAAATTCAACATTTATGTAGGCAAACAGACAGGTGTGTCTTCTTTCAAAATAAAATAATGTAGGCCTACTGAATATGATAATGATGTTGATATTAGTGACGATAACTGACCTGTTTGATTTGACAGAGTGATATCAAACACTAAATGTTTGATTATACGTAATCACAGTTGGATTGTTTTTTATTGTTTAATCAATATGAAATATAGGTTGTGATATTATAGCCTACAAGCACATCTCAGCGGCCACAGTCAAAATCATTATGATTTAACGCCGCAAATAGGGTATGTTTTCTTTACATTTACAAGCAGCCCAAATGACTAAACATTGTTTGTACTTTAAGCGCACCTGTCACCGTCATATATATATTGACAACGAGAGGGATCTTATGCATTATTAGTGTTCTGTCGTAAATGTGTGTTGAATTTTGAGTCCAGCATGATTAAGTTTTTTTTTTTTTTTTTTTTTCAGACGCTTGTGGCCTCTCAGATGTGGCCCATGTGGAAAGTTTGCAAGAGAAGTCCCAGTGCGCCCTGGAGGAATATGTTCGGAGCCAGTATCCCAACCAGCCAACACGATTTGGGAAGTTGTTACTTCGCTTGCCTTCACTGCGCACAGTGTCTTCATCCGTCATAGAGCAATTGTTTTTCGTCCGATTGGTAGGTAAAACCCCAATTGAAACCCTCATCAGGGATATGTTGCTTTCGGGGAGCAGTTTTAACTGGCCTTACATGTCAATTCAGTAAGCAGAAGGAATGAACAAAGGGGTTAAGAATGGTTAGCGCTTCTTTTGTAGAAGGAAAACGGCTGTTACAAGAGCTTGCTTTCACAAAGAAAGACATTGTCATAAATGACTGTGAATTTAAAAAATTGAGACGTTCATCGAACTTTCAAAATGCAGATAAAAGCTCCCCATGTCATTCGGAATAACTTGCTTATTATCCATTTTTTAAGAAAAAAATAAAACGAAAACAAAATATGGAAAATGATTTAGGTAATCCTCAAATCGAAAATGAAACTATAAAGTGCATTTAAAATGAGCATTTGGAAAAACTTAGGAGAAAAGAAAAAGTAAGTTTTCTTTTTCCAAATTAGCCTACTTGTCCTGTGTCCATGTATCTAGCTATTTTTTGTACTTTTCTTTTGTTCCTCCTTTCTGGTTCCAAACCGGCCTATGTGATTATGTAGTACAGGTGGTGTTCTTTTCTAAAACCATGACTTCTTTTGAAACAGTTAAGTAATGTAAAATGTTCTTCAAGAATTAAAACTAAAGCAACAGCAATATAGGAAAAGGCTTATAACTACATGCTTAATGCTGCAAACGCACTTACTCTTAGGATGACCCACACTAAACTGGGCAATGGAGTTTTTTTTCGGAGTTCAGGTTCAACTTTTTGATCCAGCTAAATCATTGCTCTTTCCCAATTGAGAATATAGCCTAGGCTACATGATGTTCCAGGGTTGCCCTGTTTTGCCACTGCTTAGTTGAGCCAGTCGAACCACATCAGCTCTTAATATAGAACAAGGATTCTACAAGGCACTGTCGACGGTAAAACAGCTATTACTGAACAGTGAATGAGATAGGTTGCCAGTATGCAGGCTATGTTTAATGAACCCCTTTCTTGCTGTATTCAACTTTGTGTATCCCCTCATGCACCCAGTTCGAAATGTTTGGCATTCATTTGCAGACAGTTCAACAAAATGATTAAAGCCTTGAGATATGGGCTACTGAAGGGTGAGTGTGGCTTGTAAACGTAGATGCACAGCTATTTGAATTATAATGTTCATTTAGATATGGTATTAACTACCAATGCATTGCACATTGTGTCTTGCAATGTATAGGCCTCAACATCAATCAAAACATCTAGTCATACAATACCTTATTTTGAAATTGGAAAGGTCAAGGGTGATATACCTTTTATGTAGGCCTACAGCTGGAATAGTTTTTAATAGCAGTATTATTACGATGTCCCTGAAATGTCACCCTCTCTATACTTCAAGCATTAAGTGCCTGAAAAGTAATTTCTTATCAAAACGTTGTTTAAGTATACAACATTGGAACACTATTAGATTTGAAACTTCAGTCTTATGCTCGTGTATTTCACTTGAAAAACATTAATTAGAGGCAGTATTGTTGTAAATATAGGTCAATTCATTTCAACAAGTTTTCCTTTATACAAAGTATATGTGATTAAGAAAAACTGTGGTTGCCATTTTTTCGGTAATACAATGTCTTCAATTGAGTGACAGACTTAGCTAGTAGCACTGAAAGTTATGTTTGTAATGTATATACATATTACGACAAAAATGTTTTCTTTTTCATGTATTTAGACTGTGAATGCATGGCCACAGGTCGCTAACCTATTTTATCTTTGATATATATAAATGTAAATGTTTTTGACTGTATAGATATAATCTGTGCATTCAGTACACTAGCCCTTGTATTTAAAAAGAAACAAAATGTTCAACAATAGGCTAAGACTAAACAGGGTGAGCTGGTCTGGAAAGGAGTAGCTATTCTGACTTAGTGTTCTGCTCCTTTGGTCTGTGACAGATGCCTTGTGTGTGTGTGTGTGTGTGTGTGTGTGTGTGTGTGCGTGTGTGTGTGTGTGTATGTGTGTGTGTGTGTGTGGTGTGTAAGCTAGCAATTTTGTCCTTGTTTTTGGGGGTTTTCTTCAACACACAAGACATCATGTTGTGGTTGGACAAAAAGGGATCATATTATGTAATTGATTGAACAGTGCTCTTTGGCTGTTCCCATGCCACATATGGACCAGAGAATGATACATGATTGTAATTATGAACAGTTTAAACTGACCCACGTTTTTATATAAATATATAAAAATATATGACTGCAGGGTATTGATAACGTATAGATACTTTTTTTATGATGATTATGATTATTAATTGCAAGTGATATATGTGAGTGTGTGTGGAAGTTTATAGTTGAACACAATTCTTGTTTGTTTGTATTAGCTTATTGTAAACAAGCATTCTGCTGTAAATTTGTTCTTGGTATTAAATTATAATTTATGAATTGGAAAACAAAACGTTTTTTCATGTTTTTATTAATAATCAGTCAAAATAATGTGTGTTAATGTGTGTGTTTATATATGTGTGTATGTATGTATGTGTGTGTGTGTGTATGTGTGAGTGTGTGTGTTTGTGTTTGTGTGTGTGTGTGTGTGTGTGTGTGTGTGTGTGTGTGTGTGTGTGTGTGAGTGTGTGTGTGTATGTGTGAGAGAGAGAGAGAGAGAGAGAGAGAGAGAGAGAGAGAGAGAGGGAGAGAGAGAGAGAGAGAGAGACTGTTGGGTATATGCAATTATTGGCGTCACAAATTGAAGTGAAGTTGTCCTATGTGTATCAATTCAAAGGAGAGGACTGTTGATATGTAGGCTACTATATTTTTGTACAATGACATTTGAACAACGTTGCCTTTGGTGCTTTAGCATGTTATATCGCATTCCTTTTGTGAACTTATAAAATCTCGACGTATGGCAACACTGCAGGTACAGGCATGTCTGACTTGAGTTCGTAAATAAAATGCGACAGTGGACTTTGAAAATATGTCTGAGGAGCCTTGGCTATAACTACCCTATATTTTCACCGGCAGCAGCAAACAAGCGTCTGCTAAATGACCAAAAAATGCAATGCAAGACAGACTATCAGTCGCTTGATTTTACTCAACTAAATACCACCCCTACCCCTCTAGTTGAGTATTAGTTGAAATGTGTGTTTTCTGTAAAGGGAGATCAAGCGTGCGATCCCCCAGCCTTAAAGCTCACCTTTAACTCGGTGTCCTATTAGTTGAGTCAATATGGCGTCTTGCAATCCAACGCATCCCGGAGCAAATCAGTGTTCCATAATAGAAACCACATTGCTTAAGAAATAGACCCCCTTCATCGAGACCCAGAGCCTCAATAAAACTATTATCGGAGTTATCCAACTATTTCTACTGTGATTAGTAAGCAAACACTGAGTATATTGCAAAATCATGAATTATAAATGTTTGTCTTCAAGATAGAATTAAACAAAAGCCTTATGATTAGCCTATTTCATTACTTTGATCATGCCCATCGTCATCCCAATAGCACTCTCAAAATGATGCTCCCTAAGTTCAATAGGTCTATTCTGTGTACGATTTCTGTAATGAAAATAGCCTACTAAAATATATTTAATATATTTAGCAGTGCGTTATTATGTTGTAGCACAAGGCATTTCATTTTTCATATTATCCAGGAAACGTGGCCTATAATTATATTTTTCAACTACATTAGAGATTATTATTATTGTTATTAGTATTAGTATTATTATTACTAGTATTATTACTATTATTATTATTATTACTACTACTAGGCCTACTATTACTAGGCCTACTACTGTACTACTACTACTACTACTGTACTACTACTACTACTACTACTACTACTACTACTACTACTACTACTACTACTGTACTACTATTACTACTACTACTACTACTACTACTACTACTAAGCCTACTACTACAACTACAACTAGACTACTACAGATTACTACTACAAGCAATATGCAGCACATGGGGCTAGGATATAAAAGTGTAGCCTACACCAGACTGTGAAAAACTTTGTCAGTGTCAGAATTTGTGTAAGTAAATCTAATTTCAGCCGACTTCCTCCTATTTCTCGGATTTCAAAGACATCCCACCATGCTCCTGTCTAATTAATGGTGAAAGTGAACTAAATCTAATTATGCTGTAATTCCGTTTGCCTTTGTGGTGATGGTGTAGCTAAATTGGTGATGGTGTAGCTAAATTGTGACTAGGATGATAGGTTTCTTTATGATTGGCCCATGATTGGCCGTATACGAAATGTTTCAAATGTTCTTGATGCAGACATTCCACTTTTCAATTTGTCTTTACAATCTTCTAAGATCTGGGACCATAGGCCAAGATGCAGTAGTATAAAACATTAGGAACACCTATACTTTCCATGACATAGACTGACCAGGTGAATCCAGGTGAAAGCTATGATCCCTTATTGATGTCACCTGTTAAATACACTTCAATCAGTGTAGATGAAGGGGAGACAACAGGTTAAAGAAGCTTTGAGACATGGATTGTGTATGTGTGCCATTCAGAGGGTGAATGGGCAAGACAAAATATTTAAGTGCCTTTGAATGGGGTATGATAGTAGGTGCCAGGCGCACTGGTTTGAGTGTGTCATGAACTGCAAATGCTACTGGGCTTTTCACGCTCAACAGTTTCCTGTGTGTATCAAGAATGGTCCACCACCCAAAGGACATCATCCAAATTGACACAACTGTAGGAAGCATTGGAATCAACATGGGCCCGTATCCCTGTGGAACGCTTTCGACACCCCGTAGAGTCCATTCCCCGACGAATTGAGGCTGTTCTGATGGCAAAAACGGGTGCAACTCAATATTAGGAAGATGTTGGTAGAGCATGGCGTTTGCAACGCCAGGGTTGTGGGTTCGATTCCCGCGGGGGGCCAGTATGAAAAATAAATAAAAATATGTATGCACTCACTAACTGTAAGTCGCTCTGGATAAGAGCGTCTGCTAAATGACTAAAATGTAAATGTAATGTTCCTAATGTTTTGTACACTCAGTGTATATCCTGGCACGTTGCATGTCACTAAAACTCTCGCATGTAATAGTTGGCCAACTAAAGCCATTACAACTCAGCAATGTCATTAAAAGGACAATATTAGTTTTCCTATTTTCTTTGGATTTTTATTAAATTATT